ATTTTCATCAAAATATTTTATTTACTTCATATTATAAAATATCAAGAATACACATTGTTAGTCTTAAAAATATGATAATAATGTTAGTTTTTAATTTTAAATAAATTACATAAATATTTAGGTATTTATCAAAATTGAATTTATCATTTAATTATTTCAATGGTAATTTTGTTTCCGCTCGATTCATCAATAATATTTAAGTAGTACCTATTTAATTGTTTGTTTTTATTTATCAAATATAAAAAAAGAAAATATTTAAAAAAAAAAAGAAAATATATAACCGCTCTCCTATATTATACATAGTTTAGAGTGTACCTACATTAAGTAAGCCACTGTAATAGATGTGTTAAACTAAATTCAATAGTAAATCATTGTATTCGACAAAATGATAGTTAGTTTGTGGACTATAGTATAAAATTTATTTAGAAAATTTCAAAACGTCATTGATATTTCTTTTTATAAAATATACAATATTTAAATAAATTTTATTAAAAACTAATTTTATGTAAAAATTATCGTTTTTCTACACTTTATTTTTGTTTGATCACAGATTATTTTTAAAAGTACTGTGATATTTTATCTTTTAACCAACAAAACAATCAATTAGTTTTAATTTTTATCTGCAATTACTTTTAAAGTTAACATTTAAAAATTGCTATGCTCATAATCTAAAATCTTATATTATTTATTAATTAGTTAATTACATTAAATCAATTATTGAAGAATTGTATGCTTATTACTCTGCTCAAATTAATTTGTTAAACAATTAAGGAACTATTAATAATCAATAGGTTATACACTTAAACAATATTTCATATTATATCACACTCAAAAACTGTATCTATTTTTCCTATTTCTATGATGGACGATGGTATATTTGTGTATTACATTTTATCTTCCTAACTACGATATAGGTATTATAGTATATTAATACTACTAACATCATGGAAAATAAAAAATTGAGATATAAAAATAACTTTTTTAAATAAAGAATCACTCACTATTTACTGAAATACTATAAAACTTTAAAAAAAAGTGAATACGGCTAAATTTCATAATAATAATGCTTTAAGTATATTAACCCATGTGTTGGCGGATTTCAATATCTAACACAATTTCAAGGTTTAAGGTTTTGTATCATATTATATACATATAACACTCTAACAGATAAAAACGTATGGGATAGCACACACACACACATACATACCATAAAATATAAGTAGGTATAATACTACTATAGCTATATTAACTATCTAAAGGTCATGGAGCCGACCTCGACACCTCCGCGTCGTTTCACAAAAAAGACAATTCCCTTGTTGTTGCTGATATTTTTTTGTGTCTATACGTTATTGATATTCAACTTGAATAATACAAATTGCGGCAGAAATAAAACACCGAAATACATTAAAAATTATAATACCGTTGCTACAAAATAGATTTTATAGACGAAATTATTTTGTTAATATCAACATTAAATTATTATGTAAGCAGTTTTAATTGTGTAAATGAATAGTTGTTTATATAAAAATAATTTGGATATAACTGCATAATTAAACACAGTGGTGTATTTTCAATTTTTTTGTGGGAGAGGGTCTTAATATTAAATATAAGTTTATAACATTATAATAAAATACATACGAGTTATGATTTAATATTAATATTATTTATATTATATTATATTTCACTATTATTATGAAAATAAATGTCAATTAATAGTTAAACCCAAGATATTTTTAAAAATATTGTAATACAAACATTAAAAGCACATAATATAAATTAATATTATTTTTCTCGATACCACGTAGCAAATTTATTATGATTTTTTTAATTATTTTTTTCTGGGGGAGGGTAGAGACCCGGCCCCCCCCCCCCCCGTAAATACGCCACTGATTAAACATGTATTATCATATTTTGATACATGAGTATTATGAAATAAACCCCCGAAGATATATTAATTTAAAAATATTACAAATAAGGAAAACGAAGGTAGTTTTGTGTGTAATCCGTAGGTATAGGCTATAGACTTCGAGTATATAATCTAAGATGGTAATACTATAAACCCGAAAAAATATAGAATAATTCAGTTTCCAAGAAATCCAAATAAATTTTGTAATTAACGTGTTTTTTACATGTTTGGATTATCTCTCTAGGAACAACGCCACTATATATGATCTATTGTTATATATTATACAATTGATTAAAAAGACTAGATTTTTTTTTTTTTTTTTTGAAATTATAACTTCTTAATTATTAAATATTAAGCATGTGGTTTTGTGTAGCAACTAGTAATATATAGATACCTATAAAAACGTATAATATTTTTCCGAGAAAAAATTATAAATATACAATATTGTACTTATTACCTAAGTTACAACCGTTAATGAATATTTTTATTTTACAATAGTGTAAAGTTTTTAACTGCTTATCGTAATGCACGAAAATTATAACATAGTGTATATATATCATAAATAGACTATAAAACAAACATTTTACGCTTATATTATTTCACAATAGTCATGTACTTATGTTTTTAGTTCTTAGGTATCTACAATATTTTAGGGTTAAGTTAATACCCGACTTTTTAGTTTCACATCCATACGATTTTATTTTATTTTATATTGTATTATACAATAGGAGAATCCTATTGATTATCTACAAAATAAAAATATACAAACAAGACAAACTATAATTTGATGTAAATATTATTATACTATTATAATAGATACCTACTAATGTATTGATAAACATCACGTTTTTACTTCATATACATAATCATTAACTAAAATTAGGTAAGACATGTAAAGAATTACTATATAACATATAATATAGGAGGAGAATTTTCAAGTAACCTGCATTTTTAAGTGTGAGGGTGTAAAAGTCGTTTCATAGCCTTTGCCTGGAATACCAATAAATAATAAAGGTGATAATGAAAATGTAATAAAAAGTATTGTTTAATTTTCTTTATGAGTCATGAGTATTTATTTATATTTGATAAATTATTATAGTTAACAGATACATATACGTATATCTTTAAATTACTGAATCATTCATCAGAAATTAATTTACAGTTATATTTATATAGTATACGAAATACTTATAGAACAGACTCAAGACAGTTAAGACTAAAGACAAATAACGTACGCGTGATACACAGGTATATACATATGATACAAATATAAAATGTATATCAGTTGTAAGAATCATTACTTACACACTACCTATATATGTGGATAGATTTGTTTTATTTTTGTTGTAAAAATATTAAGTATCGGTTGCTTTGAAAAAATATTTTTTCAGTGAGGTAATTTACTTGACTTCAGTGGTTTTTAATGTAATTAATCTTTTTTAATAAGTGATTTTAACTTTGAAGATTCTAAATTTATTTATATTTCCTGAATTACAAATTAAACTTTAATAGTTTTAACTATTTAACTTAAAATATATAACGTTGTCGACTGTTGTAACCAATAAACCAGAGCACTGATTTGAATTAAATCATGCTCCAACCATAATTACATACTTATAATAAAGTAAATTAGTTATATTTTATTCTTGTTATTTTAATATGTACCTACAAAAATAAATATAAAGTTTACAGAAGCTAGCTATATAATTTATATTTATTAATCGTGGATCACAAGTATATTAATTATGGTGGAATTCATTCTTCATGGTTAATTTGTTTTTATATATGAGTATATTATTGGTATAGCTACTAACATGCAACTATGAAAATTAAACTCAGTTCCTAAGTTAAAATAAATCAAAGAAATTCGTATAGCTCTATATAACAATAGTTTACAAGAAATAACATAGTTTAAAAATAAAAACTATAATACCTATTTTAAGTTGATAATTTTACTACTTTTTAATTATGTATATTCATGAAAATATAATTCAATATTAGTTTCAAAGAAAATTATTACAAACATGGACACTTGCGCATAAAAACTTGATTACCAATATGTTTTTCTTAAGCGATTGGTATACACCTCATGTTTAACACAGTAACACACGCACGTACTAGAAAATGATAGCTATTAAAAACTATGAATTTTAATTTTTAAACTAAGTTATACTCGTATTTTATACAAATACGTAGATGAAATTATTTTGAGAATTAAAAATTATTAATAATATTTTTATTTTTACTGGATTTAGAATTTAGATATATTACTGTCATAATTATTTTCCATTTAATTTTTTTTGATTTTTGTAACACAAATTTGAAGTTATTTAGTCTTTAAAACCTAAATTTTAATTATAAATATTAAGTTAATATCTTTTAATTAATATAAATATTCAATTCAACCCTTTACATTTATGTTATGTACATACGTGGTACTTTCTTTAATTTTATAAATTATATTGAAATTCTAAGATAAATGTTTTATAAACGTTAGTTATTAATAAACAAGCCTACAAATTCATGGTTAAAAATTATATTTTAATAATAATTTTATTCAAACTTACCTAAAATCGACTTGAACAACGAATGAAATATTTTCAAAACAGCAACTCAAAGCTTTCAAAGAATATTGATAAATATAACACTATCGAAACTCAAGACGTTAAAAATAAAATACATATATAATATTATATATCTAATGTGTACGAATTGCACGGTTCGGGTATTTAGAAATCACTTTCCGACTGCCACGAGGCCTCGGCAAACACTGAATTGTTTACTGTTGGCCAGTCGGCAGTAATATATAACCAAACACGCTCACTACCTCTCCTAATACATGAACTTCAATATAGAAGTGTGGCTGACCTTGCTAACTACTTTGGCCAATCTGACTAGTGTAGTCGCGTCATGATAGATGATATGCTTCTATTTTTTTTTTTATCCATCGTTTGAGTATACAAAATTATATAACATTAATAATACATAAAAAAAAATTTGATGTCATGGTATATATTTGTGGTTTTGTTTGTATAAACCCACGTTTAGTTTATTACAAAAAATATAATAATGAATATCAATGATGGTAATATAAACATTTTAATTAAATATAATATTTTGAAAAAAATAAACCATCTGCATACAAAGGTATAACAATAATTAAAAATCCATCGAACTTATCTACCATATATAGGTAGCCACTAAGTACGCAAACGTACAATAAAATAACTGAATGAAAGCGCATGTATAGACCTCACGATACTAGTATAATGTGTAATAAGTATAATACATGTCGCAGATCCAAATGAAAGATCTTATACAAAGTGATTAACTCACGTGTTCCGTTTCACGTGTCCCTTATACATGGTACTCACTGGAATGCCGTCTGCTTTGTCCGGCTGTCCGTGCAAATTATGCACGCCGTCTCCAATCCGTCAGCGGGTATGCACTGCTCGTGGAACACGTGTTGACAACAAAATATTAATACGTTTCCCACAGTGTCCTGGCCAACGATGCACTTTTGGCAAGCGCTGCATAAATGCTGCTCGTCTACACCACAACCTTTCCTCCGGACGTCGTACAGCCGTTCGTGCAGATCGAAGCAATCGGACACGACGATTTTTGTGCATCCCTCTTCCACGGACACTTGCAGATTGTAGTCGGTCATCATCTTGACGAGCGCGTCTTTTAAACCTGGTATCTGCGTGCGTTTACCGATCCGGCGGATCAAAATTCGCGGGTCCACGTAAGTGCCGATCTTCCGCAAAAGCACTTTTAGAAAATTTGGTTGATCCAAAGACAAACCGATCAGATCATGCCACAGGTCAACATCATTTTGGTCCTTACAAAACTCAATGGCCTGCTCGATGTCCTGTAGCTGAGACATGACTAAGTTCAGCGCATCCTTGGTGTTGCCCATTCGACCAAGCAAATACACCATTTCGGGATAGTACTCAAGTCGCTTGCATTCATCCAGTGCCAAGGCGATAGAATAATTATTGCTTCGCTTCAACAACGGCAACAACTTTTCCCGTGCAAATGCCGCATACAGCGACACCAAGTCTTTGTGCAAGTTTCGTTTGGCCAACACTCTCGTGTCTTTCTTCTCCAGGGCGTCCAAATACGTGTACAAGTAGAATCGATTGTTCTGCAATTTTGCTACAGCTACATCAATGGGCACTGTGTCCTTCTCCAAAAGTATTTTGATTGTCTGTTCACAGTCCAACTGCATTAGATCTTCAATCATGTTGTGTATTAGAGGGTACAAATTTCGTTTAGTAATCAACTGAAATATACCCTTGTGGTTTAGTTTCAAATACGCTCCTAAGGCTTTGTCAAACTTGCCAGAATGAGTATATAATATAGCCAAGGCTTCTAATAGTTCCGAACTTGAATTCACGATTAAATGTTCAATTAATGCGTTCGTAACAGCAGATACATTGTACAGTGATGGTGACCATTGTTTTACGATTTTTAAAAATCCTTCAGGCTCCAGTTTTAAGTACTCATACAACACCATTTCATAAATATGAGGGTCTAAAGTTACTTCACCCCTTGGTATGTAAGCACTTACTTGACGAAGTTGATGTACTTGTGCAAATTTAAATATTTCTTCTTGCCAAAGTTTTTTATCGTTTCCAAAAAGTTCAGAAGTCAACTGTCCAGCTTCTACATATTCTTCAACAAACAATAAATGGTCTAAAAATTTTTTGCCTACAGATATTCGGGAATTTCGATTTAAAACTATATTTTTAGAATTTACTATTTCCATTGCTTCGGCGTATTTGTTATGTTCAATAAGCCATTCAATTCTGTCATCCGCATCGCACGGATTCGCCACCACTATATCTTTTGGACTAACAATAACGAATAGATTTTCCACGACTAAACTTTCAAGGGCATAATCGTTACAACCAAAATCTTGAAAATCACGTAAAGACAAATTATCAGTACATAATTCAACATACTTTGATTCTTTTGCTTCAACTACATATAATTGTGGTCTCATTGCTTTTTCGTTTTCATCCTTTTCTTTTGAATAGCATAGTATTACTAATTGATTATGATTAAGTGGTCCTATACCAGAAATAAAGTAATCTATGCGAAACATAGACAATGGTTCTACTATATACTCGGGAACGTCTTTAAGTCTTTGCAGTCGACGTTTAACACCACAAATCCTTACTGTATCAACCCAACCAACAAGTAATGTTCCACTATCCTTCCACGTCAAGTTACATCTATAAGTACTAGGTATTATGTTGTTTCTTTTATCCCATTTAATGAGACCTAGTGAACATCGAGAAATTATATCATACACTCTGAGACCTATATTTGAAGCCCATGCTACAAAACGATTATGCCACCTTATATTATGCACGACTCCTTCAACGTCACACAAAAACACAGACTTTGTACGTCCGAGAAAAGTTCGCTCGTGAAGCATAAGACGATCATCTCCAGTAATAAAACGCCGATAATTGCCGGATTTATGATATAACGGGTCTATTGCAACTGATTTAACACAACGGCCTAATGAGATCTCCTGAGAATCTTCTGTTGTATAGAGACCATAAACAAATACATTACCATCATCTGAACAAGTAGCAATAAATTCACCGCGACTGTCTATACTTATTTGATTAACTGCTACTGTATGTGGACGTAGTTGCCGATTATTTACAATATTACCTTCAAAATCCAATAAATGAATAGAACCCCAATTAGTACCAATACATAAAAATTTGGGATGAGCAGCAAGATAACTAACACCGTCTTTGGTTAAAATAGTTTGAACATCATTAGTGAGACGTACATATTTAAGTTTAGGTTCAACTTCTTCAACTGTTTCTATTTCAGATTTTTCATCGGATTGATTTGTCATTGTTTGGATTGTTATATCTGAAATAAAAAAATTAATTTATTTGAAATTATTTATTAGTATACATAATACAATTATATTATTTAATATTATAATAATAAAAATATAGTTAATTTCAAAAAAGTAATGATTTCTATTACTTAAATTGAAATTCTGTTATAATAATTGAATATTGTTGATTTGATTTATTTATTTATTTTAAAATAAATTATAACTATCATAAGTCTATATTAATAATGAGACATTTTATGAAATGTATTACTTTGATTAAAACCATATAAAAATTTCACCTAAAACACTAACTTTTAGTAGGTATCCTAATTAATAATTTGTAAATTTACCAAATAAGTTTAGAGAAACAAAAATTTTATGTTTCAATATCAAATAGTTATATTCACTAAAAATAAATATTATTTTAAATTATAATAACACATTATAACAATAGATTCATTTATCATTAACTAATTTTTAAATGATAATAAATATTCATCTATACTCAATTACTTATTAGTGGCTTTTACAAATTTAAAGTCTAAAATGTAAATTTAATATGTATTTATATACATATCAAATTAGGTTTTAATTATATATATCTTAATTCATTGATAAAATATAACATACAACCTTTTAAAAGCCCACATTTAAAATACCAGGATGAGGGATAGAGAAAGTGTATATTTAATTCAAATATTCTAATATTTTTTTTAAATAATAGACAATACTAAAACACAGTTCAGTAGTCCCACATCATCATAACAATAGTTGTTTTTCTACAACAGATACCTTCAGACGAATAAAAATTGAAAATGGGATTGATCTTATTAGTTTATTTAGTAAGTATAAATAATAAATCTTTAATTATTCTTGACCTAGATTAGATTAAAATTGTATTCATAAAATTAAATAATTTATAAAAATAATACCTATTTTTACATATGGTACATATTTAACAATATTTAAAATAGAATCAATTTTTTATAAACAATATGTGAAAACTAAAAAATTTGAACAACTTTTCTTTTTAAATATATTAGGTATATTTTATAATATTACAAATGATACAATGAATTGTACAATTCCTTTTAAATCACTATTAGGAAAAAATAAACTCTATTCTGGTTTTCAATTTCTAACATTTCTGTACATACAATTCTATGTAAATTTAAATAAAAATATTGATTATTTATAACAAAAACAGTATCTATGTTTATTTTTTAGATGTTATGTTATTACTGCATTGTTTTATGTGAATGTGATCCAAAATTAATACAATATACTATTGAATATTATTAAAATAGATTGAAAAACATGAACATTAAGTATTAATAATATCTGTATATATAATTGAACAAATAAATCTATGCAGTAATAATATAAATTTAATATATTTAAAAGTTATCAAGACGTCATTATCTATAGTATTCAATAAATATTTAATATTTTTTATTTTAAGATACAATACATATAATATGTTCATAGATATTTTTTTCCCAAAACATGTTACAATAATACATAAATAGACTATTAAAATATGAAGAAAAAGAGTTATAGAAATCAAAGTATTTAAATAAATTTAAAAAAATATGTTTATTTAAACCAATTAAACATAGCTTAAGATTTACTTTTGTTAAGCGAAAATCTTTCTAACAAATTGTTGAATTATTGTAAATTAAGTTGTATAATTAATATATTATATTTTATATCTGAACAGATATTAAAAACAACAACAATTATAAACATACTAGCAATAACTGTACCAGAACAAAATGAATCAAATAGAGTGGCAAAATCACTGTTGGAAAAAGTTCTTTATCCTAAAACTAAAATCCAATCCACAGTAAACCACCATTCTACAGAACTACATAATTCATTTGGTGTTTCTGGAAATGTTGGAATCGGATTTCATTTTGGAAGCGGATATAGGATAAAAAACGGTGATGGAAAAGAAGATCAGGAAATTGTACACAATAAAATTTATGATAAATATTTGGGTACTAGTTTTGGTTTTGGATCATTGGGGAATAATAAAAAAGGACATGTTGAAAACATTGAACAATCAAATACGGCAGACCAAAACACTATTTATCACGACGAAGTTAATTTGGTAGATCAAGAATCTGATAATGAACTAATTCCAACTACAACAACAACAGCAAAACCAAAGGCCGGAGTCTTCAGAAAAATTAGCAACTATTGGGCAGCTGAACTATCAGAACCCAAAAGCAGTTATACCAGCAGTGGTATTCTTAAATGGAGTATGCAAAAATTAAAAAACAAAAATAATGTCGGAACACCAAGATAAAAAGAAAACTTAACGTGACTATTTTTGTGTAAATCTATAATATTGTTATTATATAAAATAATTAAGTAGATACTTACAAAAGTATTTTTTAATTTTAATATCACAATGATTTAAGAAGCACTTAAGTAAAAGTACACATAGTTATTATTTATTGATAAATTATAATTTCAAAAATCCAAGTATTTAGTAAACCTTGATTTACAATTAACAGTTAACACGATTAAAATCATATCTGCTGTAATTCAGAAATTTATATTTTTCTGTTGTTTTTTTTTTATGATATTGATAACGCAGATAACAATATTTTGATTTTTTGATAACCAAAAATGTCCAGATATTATACTTAAATATTATAAATGATAAATATGAATCCTTATTCCATAATCAATATTATTAGTGTTATTACTTATTAGTTATTACACAATACACATAAACATAATAGCCTCATTTAATTTATATAAATTTTGACCTTTGATCAGCATGATGGCATAGAAACATTAAAAAATAAAAGATTTAAACCTACTAGGCCAGAAAGTAGATGATAAACATCTTGTTCATGGGATGATTTTAAATCTTCCATTTAGTTATTCCTATTAATCTACACTTCCACATTTTATTTTAGCTCCCCCTTTCATAATTCCTAGTTCCACCAATAGTAGCTGCATTTTTAATATTAATATTATGATAAACTAAATTTTGATTTCTTATGCTTTCGAGCTTAATTAAATGTAAATGAATTTGAATTAAAATCAGAAATTTTGGTTGCAAGAAATTGTTATAATTATCGATTAGAAAAGGTTAATTATCATCAGGGGAATTTATAATGGAAAGAGTATTGATTATTATTAAAAAGCCTTAATAGGTAGGTAGGTACCATTTTTTTGTGATTCATATTATATACAAATCACATACACTATAAAATTAAAAATATTAGATCAATTGTTCAATTATTAACAATTAATGTAAGTAATATATTTGTGGGAGATGTGGTGGGTTAAGACCTTTACTTTGTTTATTTATTTTTAAAAAGGCTAGGGCCCGAAGTCCCCTAACATTAGGTATAATTACAACTATGCCAATTTCTTTATAATTTACAACTTGGTACCTATTTACAGACTTCTGTAGTTATTTAGGTACCATTCTCAAATCTACAAAAGTAAAAAAAAGAATAATTTGATGTTACACAAGAAATTTACCACTATTTTAATGTATGAATATTCTTAATTTTATTTTTATAATCTCAAACTCCCAACTTGATTCACTAATATTAACAATTAGTCTGCTTTACAAAAAATGTTATCAAAATTATTCTTAATAAATATTTATATTTCAAATACTGTCTTTGGAATAAGGATAACTATAGTGTCAATCTGCCTGCTATAATTTTATTTTGTTTAAAATCAATCATAATTGTCTTGAAATACTGAACAATTTTTGATAGAATTATCATATTATGATTATGATGTTCATAAATGTTTAAAAATTAGGTAATAATAGATTTAATGTTCAAACTTCAAATATCTAATAAAGAAATATTTAAGAATGAAGATACATATTATAATACAATACAATAAATATAATGAAATAAAACTAACATTACACTTTGATTAAAAGTTAAAATTTTACAACCATAAGAATAATTATCAGCGCAGACAAAAAAATGTTAAACATTCTTATTAATTTTTATTACTATTTTCAATTTTCTAAGTGCAAAATATTTAAAATTTCAAAAATAAGTAATTTTAAGTTAAAAGTAAATAATTATAAGCTAATGGCCAGTACCCAGTTTTGCTTATGATCCTTAGTTCTAACAGAAAACATTTATATATGTATAATGTATATATATGCTTTGGTACTTAAAAGTATTTAAAACTCATTTCAAAAATATATTAGAAGATAAAAATAACACAACCTATTAACAATTTTGATTAGCTAATAAGCAATATGGTTTTTTATAAGAATACACTAAACAAGACAAGAGTAATAATACTAATAAACATTAATTAATTTAAATAAAATACTAATCAATAATTAATAAGAGTTAAATGATTTATAAAGAAAAAGTTTAATTCAACATCTTGAACATTACAAAAATAGTTTTTAAATACAATAAAAATAAATAAATAAATAAATGTTAATATTATAAAATAATGTCATGTTAATAAATTCATAAACAATTTATAAAATAAATGTTAAGTATAAAACAAAATTAAACAAGTTTGTATGACTAGAAAGCAGTGTTTCATATATTAAAACATAAATATAAAGATAAACCAAATAATACTTTTCTTTAAAATTTAATGATATATCAAAACTATACTAGTTGAATACCCTGTAAATATTATTTAATTCTAATAAGTTATACTTGTAGTATTCACACGACCAAATAAAAATATTACAATAATAAATATTGTATTATAACTTTTAAAATAACAAAAGCAAAACATTTTTTTCACAAAGAATATAAGAGTACAGTAAGTCACATTAAAAGAAGAAATATGAATAAAACCATATTATAATTAATCATTAAATTTTAATTTATAAAGAAGTAATGACATACTATACACAGTATATCATGGAAATTAGACAATTTTACATTGAAATTATATTTAAATGAGTTAGAACATTGTGATACACTACATTTTTGTTCATAAGTTATCAACTTACGCACAGAGGCAGTATTTTGCAGTAGAGCATGCATATAGATGGTACTTTTAGTGGGAACAACAAAAGATTAGTGTCGTAATACTACCGAGGTTTATTTTTAATGTGAAGTAGTTTTTCAAACTTTTTAGATAGTTGTACTAGTTAATAATAAAATGATTTTGAAGATGTAAATAATCTAATTCAATAGTTTATTCTTCTTCAAAATCAGCTTTTTTTATAAGTTTTAAACTTTCTGCTAGTTTTAAACATTTATTGGCCATTTCTCTTATCTCTTTTTTCTTCTCGTCTTCCATTATTGAAAGTGCCATTAATATTTCCATAATATCAGTGGCAAAAATTTTTTCTGCAATTTCTTTATCTGTACCAATTAAACTATGTGCAATCACCAAAGCTCTATGCTGCATTGCATTATTAGGATGTGCTAATAAAGCCTTCAAAGATTCTTCCCAATTGTTAAGCTTCATTAATTTTTGACAACATTGTTTACTATTTGACACAGCTATTGCAACTGCACCAGCAGCAGCTAATGATGTATCTTCATCCTCTTCTTCAGATAACAGAAATAACATTTTTAGTTTATCATTTTCGCCCTCAATTATCTTAATGACATCATGAGACATCATAAGATTGGTAAAACATTGGGCAGATGCTCTTCTAAGCATTAGGTGTTCTTCAAATAAATAACTCTCAATGAGCGGTAGACCGCCAGTATCTATTATCTTTTTTCGTATTCTTTCATTCACAGACGCCATGTTACAAAGTGCCATCATTGCCTCAAAATTCTCTAATGCTGTACAGTCTGGATGCAATAAACTAAGGAATGGCCGTATGGATTCTAGACAACGTTGTTCTTTAAACGAGACTTCTGGATTGATGGAAATTCCTATTCTAGCTAAAGCTTGTGAAGCTTGTCTTTTGCCTTTGGATGTACCTGAATGAGCAAGTTCCAAGAGCGACTTTATACCTCCCAATTTAGCTACTTCACCCCTGATTTCAGGTAGGACACAAATAGAGTTGAATAACCTTGAAATAAGTTCTTTGATGTTTAAACTTTCTGTTTTGGACAGTTGTACAAGAACTGTGATGACACCATATTTACACAACAACGTAATTCTCTTATTTACAAAATCAACATCATCTAATTCATGGTCTTCAGGTACATGACATTTGGAGAATTTTGCAAGTTCAATCATTTCTGGAATAACCTCTTGTTTTTCATATGCATTACACAAATTGACAAATATTGACACAAGAGCATACATTGCTGATGTTTTCTCTGATTTAGCTAATCCCATAATGGCTACCAATGCTGCTTGATCTTCAATTAACTTTTCTTTAACCTCTGCATCTAATGTTAAATAAGATAACCCTTCTACAGCCCATCTTTTTGTATCTGGATTAGTATCAGGATGTATTAAAAATCTACGACAAGCTTCAGCTAATTTAAGAGTAGAACCTTCTGAGAATGGACGGATAGAAGCATCACTTCCACCACTACTACCAAGTTTGCATAAGCCAACCAATGCACGAATACGTATATCATCATCACCACTCTTGTATAGATTTTTAAGTATTTGAGTACCTTGTTTCACAATTGGTGTGATCTTACTTTTCTTTGATGTAGCAGCAATAATACACTCACATGCAATTTTTTGCTGTACTTTATCATTTGTTGTTGCCATTGTAAGAATCATTTCAATAATACCTATAAAAAAAAATATATTAATACTTGAAATAGGTATACCAACATATAGTGTAAAATTAATTAATAAAATATTCAAAACATACCATCTCTCGATATAATTGAATTTCCAACATCTATTGGACCCATAAGTAATACTGTTATGGTTGATATAGCTCGGACTTTAGATTCTATATCTGGATCTAGAAGCATTCTATTCAGGAACCCATCAACAGCACTTACATATTTCTCTCTAGATTTATCACAAGTCATGTTGTCATAAATTTTTGATAAGCAGACTGAAACGTTTGTGTGTGAATATTCAGTAATTTCCATTTTTGATTCATATCTGGTTTCAGTAAGTTCAGCAGCTACTTCCAACAATCTTTGTAATCCGTTCATATCAATTAAACGTTCAGCCCAATTGACATTGTTAAAATGAACATTTCTTGTTAATATTTCTATAATGGAATCTCTTGCAAACTTATTAATAGAATGTCGGTCCACAGAACAGACTAAGCAAGTTAAAATAGCATCTATTTCTTTAGAGTTCTTTGCACATTTTTCTTCATTTGGCGAACTATCTAATGTGTTGGACATGCCTGTTAAACTATTTAGTGCTTCTTGTATGATAAATGTAACACCATTTATTTCATTTTGATTTTCAGTATTTAACGCATCTATAAACCAAGGAACACCAAGTTCAACCAAAACTTGCTTGGTACGAGTCTCATCATTTTTGCACAGTTGACCAATTATTCTTAAAGCATTTATTCGTACTTCATTATTTTTTTCATTCTTTAAGAGACCTTTAATTTTGCTGACAATACCAAATTTTAACAAACCAACACTTCCACTACTTGATTCTTTAGATAAAACCAATAAATTTTTAATAGCTGTAGTACGTTTTTCCAAACTCTCTTCAATTTTAAAAGCATATTTGAACATGCTTTCAATTTTATTAGACAGTTGAGCATTTTCTCTCACCTTCTCTTGTACAATTGGATGCAATCTTGACAAAACAGGCTGAATTTCTTTATTTGTTGGATCAGATGACAAACATTGTTTACCATCTATATAGGCTTCTTCATATTTTCCAAGCTGTTCGTAAGCACAACAACGACGGAACAATGCTTTAGGATCATTTGCTACTATGTCCAATGATGCACTACAATCACGGATCGCATTTTCAAACTCACCTAATTTATTGTACACAGCAGCACGGTTTTTGTACAAAATTGATTTCTCCCGAGTGTTTTCTTTCAGTAAGTTCAATGCAGAAGTGTAATATTGCAAAGCATTTAACCAGTCTCCAATCTTGAATGCTGTATTGCCTTGTTCTTTCAAAAGATTAGAGTCTTTTGCAACGTCTCCCGACATTTTATACTACTTATAGGTTTTAAACGTAAGCTGATTAAATACAATTTGTTCGAATTTAAAAAGGTAAAAAACAGATGCACGAACTTTTATATAAGTCAAATTATTTGGAAGTATGCCAAGAACGAAAATCTTTTATAGAACACTAGAAGATTCTGGAATTTAAAACATATATGTAAGAAACTTATCAGTTATTGTTTAATAAGTCTTATCATTTAAACATCAAATCAAAAATAATTTAATGTACGTCATGGGTTATCAATCCCATAGAGCATAAACAAAATTAATGTATAGAATAAAATATTATACTTACTAAATATATTATATACGCACACGCCATGTTTAAATTTATGATCGTTCAATTACTCGATAACATTTTATTATTAATGCCATTCAAAATGCTCCTACTTTTTTTGTTAATTTAAAATGTTAAGATGAACTTAACCTCTTCTGCAACACTCAATAAAAACTTAAAAAATTACAATTTATCAAATAAGAAATAAAAACGGGTTTAAAATTTAAATTGTAATAAATAATGTTTCAAAAATTTTATCTGCCTTATTGCAGTTAGTATGATATAAGGAAGATGTTAAAGCAAACAAAATGAAGTAGTATCATAACATAAAGAAAACAAATTACTGTGGAAAAATTTTTTTAAAATGCATAATAAATTATGAGTGTATTAATTTACTGCATTTATCTGAATGTACAATAATCTTCCATTGAATTAAATTCAAATAAATTCTCAATTGTTCAAGAATTAAAAATCAAATGTATTATATAGATTCACGAATGAGCATTCATTGTAAATTACTTCTTAATATGTATACAAAGTAAGATTAGTTAACATAGAAATACATTTAAATGTGAGATATAATTTACTGTTCTTGAGTTGCAATCAATCAAGTTTGTAAGTAAAAGAAATTTATCTATTGAGTTATAATTTACAATTAAAATTATTTATCAACATTTAATGTATTTCCAAGCATATTAATATCTTTAAATAATAAATATCTTCTACACATTATAAAAAAAACTAAATTCAAACAATAAAAATTATGATGAATTATTACTAGATAATATTTTTTCTTACACTGTTTTATTAAATTACACCAATTACTAGTATATTCTTCGAAATGTATTAGATATTAGGTAAATATTTAAAAAAAATAAACGCAAATCCTTAAAAGTCATTCATTAGGAATAAAATTAAAAAAATATTTAAAAATACGATACCATCTGATCATTGTTGAGGTAACTATATAAAATCAAAATCATAACAAGACACATTGCTTTTGAAGTAAAAGGGGAATACTATAGAACTACATAAAATTTACCTACAAACTAACTTATAATAAAGTTATTTACAATATTACTCACAAATATCCTTAACAATATTATCAAACTACCTTAATGCTATTGAGATGATACACTTTAAAATTTATGTTCTAAATTCAGTAACAAAAAATATATAAAATCGGAGAGCATTTCCCAAGAATTAAAATCCTGTGAAATCTAATTTTAAAATTATATAATTCTAATGATGAATACATCATTTAGTCTTATTAATTAATTTTCGATTCTAATTAACAAATTATAAAAATTGCCGTTCATTATACTTTAGCATTACAAAATATGTGCGTAATGTAATTTACATTGAAAATCAAGTATCTGCACTCTTTAAAAAGTTAAATTATAAATTAACAATTATAATTATTAATTAATTTACTTAGTATGTCTTACAGTTAAAATTATAAAATATTATTAGTATTTATAAATACAAATAATATTATAAATCAATAAAATACCAGTCTACCACACTAAAGAAATAGAAAATGTTATATTCTGCAAGCATAGAGATAGAAAATACTGTTATATATTATAATTCAAGTGTTTGTCACACCAAAATATAATTTGTTCTGATAGTTAATTATAATCAGAAATTAAGTTTTTCAATTTAGAAAATAAATATAAGTTTCTTTAAACGCTAAAGTAGTTATTTAAGTAGTATTATATTAAAGTGCTAGAGGATAAAAATACAAAAGAGACTAGGTCAAGGAAAATATAAACTACAAAAGAAAATATAAATTATATGGTGGGATTTTAAACATTCACATTATAGAGAACACATTATATAATATAAATTATAAATATAAAAAAATTATCTGTAAATCGTAATATTGACAAGGATGACTATGTTTTTTTTCATTTTTTGTTTTTTAATAAAAAATTAAACATTTTTAATAAACAAAATGTTGTCGTCAGTTCTATCAAATTTCAGAAAAAATATTGAGAAATTACAGGTTAATTTCAATTAAGGACTTTTCTGGACATTTTATGATTCAGGAATTTAAATTTTTCCTTAAAATTAGATCATAATAATCCCATTAAAAGTGAAAGAATCTCAATTAAAACATTGTAATTTATACACTTCACTTATAAATTAGAAACATGTTCTTCTGTTTTTTCTGCATCAGAACCAAGATCTTGTTTTAAAGCTTCGACGCATGATTTAGGTATCAAGGTACCTATAATAAAATATTAAGTTTTATTTAATACAAGCACATTAATATTTTAAAATTGGAAAAATAAAATACATCAATATTACATACCAACTATTTTTAATCCTTCTGCAGTCTTTAACCTTACAACTTGCATCTTGTGATGTGAACCTGTACGAGCTAATAACACATTTTCTATTCTACTCCATACACTCAACACTGATCCAGACAAAACATTATATGTACGGCGCCTCAAACCTACTTCACAATCTTGACCAACTGTAACAAGTTTACAGTTTCCACGCCTAAACAAAATTATATATTTTTAGAAATCCTGTTGAATTTAAATATTCATAAATCAATAAATGTAAAAATGTAACTACCAATAAGCATGTGAACAAACAGTTTCAGATGAATCATACTGTTCTTTCCAATGTTTTTCTGCTTTAGATGACTCCACTTTAAAATATTTCTTTTCTAGTTCACTTAGTGACTCTTGTCTTAACTAAATAAATAATAATGAATGTTACAATGATTGACAAAAAATTTAAATAAACTCAATTTCAATTAATAAATAAACAATTTTTGAATAAAAATGTGAAGTTATTTAGATTTTTCTTACCTGTAATCCAGTGTTTGGACGGAATATAGTAAACATAATATCTTTCTTAGAGGGTGTTTTTGTTGTTTCACCTTTCTTATTAGCACTATTATCAGCCAACAAAGCAAGTACAGCAGTACTTTTATTGTTTCTTATCTAAATGTTTTGTTATATATTAATAGTATACTTTAAAATATTAAATCAATTCTTACCTGATGTGAAAGATAATATCCTTCAGTAGGTGCTTTGGCTTCATTACACCTTTCTATAGATTCATCCCAACTCATACCTCTTTCAACATGTACAATATGAAGCTCAGTAGTAGCTTGACCAGTGGCATGTTTTCTAAGGAACGTATACATTTTTACTCGTTTTACATTTTCTCCAGCAGTACCCAAATCTAAAAAAAATATTCACATGAAATAAGTTTTGTAAAATGCTTAAGATTACATACCTAAAATCCCCAAATCAAAACGACCAGATTTTTTTGCTTGTGTAATAATATGATGTAGTACATCAGTGAAATATTTAAATAGCCTGTTTTGAAGCTCAACTGGCATACCAAGAATACGGTTTAGGAACTTGCTTATGTTGTTGTAATCCTTGTCTAATGTTAAATTACCAGGACTTGCTTCATTATTGATAATCATACCAACACCAACAAGAGCACCACCAACATCTAAAGAAATAAAACAATGTTGTTAATTTTAACTGAATAAAGTTAAGTTAAATGCTGTTTTTTTTCTTCAAATATTTAGGGACAATTACAAAACATTTGCATAGTAGGTGAAAAATATTTTGGTATAAAATATATAAGCCATGGTAAGATACTGTAAAAAAACACAAATTTCATTTAAAATAATAAAAAACAAGAAACTCACTTCTGCTATATAGTAGCTTAAGAGTAATATAAATTTTAAATATGAATAGGATAATAAATAATTGAAAAAAATTAATAAATAACTTTAAATTAAATTGATAAACAATTTAAATTTGCTGTCAAAAAAAAAATTCTAATATTGTGTATTTTTTAAAATTTTAAAACACATTTTAAATTGATAAAATAATTGGAATAAATTAAATATGAAAACTACATACAGGACGATATTTTATCATTGAATACTCATTATTTCATAATTTATAAATGTTTGAAAATATATTTTAAATTCATATTTTGAAGCAGAATTTTTTGATACATAAAAATCAAAAATCTGATGAATAGTTTTTGAGTTATTATTATTTAAAGTTTAGGTTAGCAAGATAGGTGACTAACATTATAAGTGAGGGAATACCTAGTACCTATCTACTCTGCTAATCAACTAATAGACTATTCATTTGAATTTATAAGTATTGAAATATTTTGTTTTAGAATATGGATTTAAGTATAATATATCATTAAAAAAAGTAAATATTAAATGTATAATTTTTTTTAAAAATATTGTTTAATTTTGTCTGTTTATTATATAAGAAGAAAAATACTTTCCAAAATTTTAATACATTTTGGAATAATGAGTACTGTTTGATTTAAGAATTATCCTGAATAATAACAAAATAACAATTATAAAAACATAAAATGAGTATAACAAACACAATTGAAGATAGTACAAAATGTTAAATTACCAGTGCTTGTTAACATTTAGTAAGAAGTAAGTAGTAGCTTACATTTATTAACTATAATTTTTAAAAAATTCATCACCTTCAAAGAAGTGTCCTTTATAGTCTTCTGGGGGTGGTACTATAGGGCTCTCATAACCAATAATAGTTTTCATTGTGGTTTCTAAAGCAGCTCGGCCATATTTATTATCAATATTAAATTTCGATAAATCTCGTGTTTCAGTTGCTCTTCTATCACCATGCGTAAGAGCACCCTAAATTATTGCAACAATAAATAATTAATAAATTCAAAAATAATATATATTGTTTTTATTAATTTGCACTCACAAGACTTTCTAATCGCTTGGCTACTATAGATGCAAAACGTCTTTCTCCAGCTAAATCAGATATTAGAAAAATATACTCTGGAGCATTAACTTGATTAGAACGATGAGAACGGCCAAATTG